TATATATACTTTAAACGGAACAGTAGTAATGTTTGTATATTGTGTTCATTATTCCAGGTGTACGGTATCGATGGATTCTATCGTGAGAATTACACAGAATCAGATTAAAGATGTAGAAGGTACTTATTCAATTCCATTACTAATGTACGTTAACAGCAATAATAATAGATATGCAACAATATTATATTGTTTTAATAATAGATACGGTAAACTAAATAATAAAAAGCAGATAAGTTTTAATTACATGCAGAAAACTTGTATCTGCATATAGCCTAGTGGGGGGATTTGGGGTTGCTGAAAAGACCAAAACACAGTGAGACAGTGCTATCATAAACACTGCAGATTCCAGAACCAATAATAACAAGATAGAGTTCTCAGCGATTTCTGCGTGCACATTTTGTAACAACGCAACGTGGGCGTCCTCTCGCAGTTACGATTACATTTCAACTTTGACATCTATGATCTTCGTCACCAAAACAAAACATTGGCGAGCCACAAACTAACGCGATAGGATATATTAAAAATCCCATAATTGAATTGTCCTCATAAACAGAATAAATAAAAGAAAGTTTATACAACATCAGTGTTATAAAGCTAATACGCACGCACGCACGCTTGGTAACAACATGGCGCCATGTGCCAAGTTGGCCAAACTCTCTCTATCTACGGCTCTGATAATAAGATCCGTGTCCAGAACCCAAACATAGGCTAGTAGTGAGGTAATGTGGATATGAGGAATTCCCGGAAACATATACAGCTGACTGAGAAATAAGAATGCCCTCCCATTTCCTGGAGAAAAAAAATGCCCGCGCTTCTCTATGAGTATCCTATTCCCGTCAAGTAATTTACAAGTGTCACAAATAATTATAATTTGTACCGAGAGAGGGAATTGGCATTATGTGTGGTATCGTGGGTAGGGGTCCTTAGATCAAGGAAAGAATGTAATAACCACCACATAAATAGAGAGAAAAAATATTTCCCGACCACTAGGACTACTACCGATAGCAGTGTTACGGATGATATTATGGAGTGTTTGTTAGTGTTGAAGTTTTGAAGGTGCTAGTTGTTGTAATATTAATTTTATATAATCCTTAATTACGTTTTCTCTCTATATAATTTCAGTTCATGGAGAAAAACACCGAAACGTAACGGCATACTGACAACGAAAGAGTAAATACATATTATAGCGATTTGGGATTATTAATTTTCGCGCAGGTAAAGGGGCTAATGTAGACATATTATTGATGTACCATTAAACTGTAATTGTGACGTAGCGTGAAATAGTTATTAATGTAGGCAATTTTATATACAGTACTGTACTTGGATACCCATTTATATTGTAGCCTATGTTTTGTAGTGTACAGTAATTTGGCAGACTTGATTGTCTTACTTTGATTACAATTTCACCTGTTTTTTAATGTTTTTAATATATTTACATGTCACCTGTATTGATGGTGAAGGATATGGTTGAGCATAATTTATAGATAAGAATAAGAAAAGCTAGTAGCTTGTTGGGAGTGTAAGGGGTTGTTAGAAATTGTTTACAGATGAGTTTTGCTTACAATACTTGTGAAATATCGCGAGGACTTTTTCTACATAGTCTTGTAGTACTGAGCACGCATCTATAGAGAAAGAAATCAGCGCACAGCGCTCACAATAGAAATTTAAGATGTGTATAAGAGACAGGCCTAGTATGTATTAATCAGGGGTGGAGGTGGGATAAATTTAACCAAAAGTTTAGAGAGACACCTCTTGTCTGAACTGGCGCCATATTAATTGTCGGAGAGCGTCTCGTAGCTAGGATACACTCTCTAACCGAAAGGCATGACCTCTGACCTAAACCATATTACTCCGCATGTACAGATAGGCGTAAGGTGCCTGCGCTAATATAATATTAATTAAATCTTATTTATTTAATGACTTATTATATTAGACTTCGGCTTGTTGAACTCGGTTGGGGCCAGGAAGGAACCAGACATAGAAACGACAAACGCAGTAATTGGTTTCCATGGCCCTTTATTTCACGACAAGTAATCAATAACAATCTGCCCCAAATTGGGCCCAATATGGGGGAAAACAAAACACTCACATTTTAGCTTCCTGAAGCTAAAATCAACCCCCATAAGAAACAAGCCGATGTCAATAACCAGAGTACCTCTCTGACAAGAACAAGTACATAATATAATATAATGTCCAAATTGATTTGTCACCTCAAGTCCAAGTCTAAACCGAACATCAATACAACAAAATGGATTTGTAACTTCAAGTTCAAACCCCGAAATTTATGAAAATGTAAACAACATGAATCGTAACCTCAAGTCCGAATCATTTACTTATCATTGAGTTCTAACAAGAACAATACACAATAACCTATAACCGACCGGATTCGTAACCTCAAGTCTGAATCTCAGTAAGTTAATAATAGCAGAAAAATATAAGCCGCAAGCATGCATCTCACCTCCCTATACAGGATTATTACCAACCACCTTGAATATAGATGGCAACAGGATATAGCGTTTAAACACATTAGATCTCCATCTACCCATGTGTTGGATATCTTCGTCCGAAAAGCCCAACGGTGCAGCAACGCTTGCAGCCCCAATTCTAAAGATATGCGTAGTATAATGATTCGAAGAATATCCTGCCAATGAAACTGCTTGCCCCAAAACCTGACGGAAATATGCGTATGACAATGGCCGTCCTGGATCAAACGAAAAAGCGGGCCCTTGTAATTACCACGAATTATTAAAAACATCCTAAGGGACTCAACTGGGCAATATTCAGAACCATTCTTTGTGAGAAGGAGAACAACCGGCCTACTTGACTGGTTGTTTTTAAACGACTGAAAATGAAGTTCTGCTACCGTTTCTTTTAACACAATATCCTCAAAATTTAAAGTGTGATTGCTGGAGCCACACCGTGAAACTTCACTGGCTCTTAAAAAATCATAAAAGCATAACAAAAAGAGTGACTTGAACATGGCACATTGATATCGTGAAGGAACTGCCCGTGACAGTGCATTGACAACGGCATGTAGAATTGGTAATGTAAATGGAAGCCTCACATCATTTGATGATGCACATTGATTCACACCACGCAAACCAATTTTACTAAAAAGGATTTCGCCTGGTCCGCAAACTCTTTCAACTGATTAAATGACCAATCCCAGCCACATATGTTCTGATAGTAGCTGCTGTATAACCAGCTTCAAATAAATAAGCTATGAATAAAACGTATGTTTGTACGGATGTAGGAAACAGACTAGCTAATAAATTTTGAGACTTCTCAAATTTTTCGAAGATATTCAAAGCCTGATTATGGGTTCTTCTGGTCTGAGGGGCCACCCCCTGCAACATCAACTGTTAACTGTCATTTCCAAAGTGCAGGTGATGCACATGTACCGGGTGTGTATCGTGTTGAGGGGACAACGCCCTGAACTCGTCTACCCGCAATCGAGATAAATGATCAGCCAAAATGTTTGCATTCCCATGTATATGTTTGGCCGTCAGAAGAAAATTGAATTTTAAAGAAGTAAGACAGTACTATTCGTCGCAAAAGGTGCATAATATGACCTACATCAGATGTCATATTGTTAATTGCCGCTACCACAGTGGTATTGTCACATACAAAAACTATACATTTGTTTGCTAGACGAGCTGCCCAGAATTCTATTGCTAGTGCAATTGGGATCATCTCTTTAACATAAATTTGCAAATCTTTAAAGTCTGAAGGCCACCTCCCAAAAATGAATGTAATAGTGCTCGTGGGGTGAACAGTCTTGGAAACTTTAATTGGTATGCCCACCCTACCACAGAATAATAGTAGTTCTGACAAATCCTGCCCACACTTAGGGCTTCTAGGAGGGCCTACTATTAGGAAATCGTCAGGAATGTGACAACGTCCTGTAACTTTTAACTTATTTTCTAAGATACATTGTATCGCAGTACTAAATTCCTCAAAAATTTTACAAGATTTAGCACACCCCATTGGCAGAGTTTTATCGTAATAAAACTTACCCCCCACTTTCATACTAAGAAGCTCATAATCATTTGGGTGAACTGGAATTATTCGGAATGCATTTTCTATATCTGTTTTAGCCATGAAGCTTCCCCTATCAAATTTCTTTATTAACTTTATTGCATGCTCTACTGTTTGATAATGAACCGATGTATCTGCAATACCATCATTTATTGAGGACCATTCAGGAAAAGATAGATGATGAATCAGACGAAATTCGCCTGGCGTAATTTTAGGAACCAGCCCCAATGGAGAGATCAAAATGTGATATGTCAAATGGGCCCGCGATTCGAGCCTGCTGTACGTCATGCAAAATGTTGTTTAAAACAGTAGGCATATCAAGTGCTTTAAGTTAGGCGCTTCTCGAAAAACTCTTTTACCCTGGTATCCTATTCGAAAACCCTCATTAAAACCGTCTCGAAGAAAGTCTCGTTTGACATAATCATAACCAATAAGCATTTGATCAATAGCAAAGAAGTGAACTGGAGTGGTCAACTTATTTTTTGTTTGAACGAAATGAATTGTTTGTTGCCGTTTTTACATTTGGTGACCTGGTTGTGTCACTCGTTTTATCAGGGATTCTGATGTGATCAAATCTGCAGGATTTGTAGTTGCAGATTCATTTAAGCTGAAAGCGCCAGCAGATCCCTACCGGCAGTTTTGCCCGTCCTTTAGGGAGTTGATTGTGACGAAGGGAATGTTTAGACAGCGTCCTAGTGGTCTGATTAGTACCATGCACTAGGTTATCTGTCTTATTTTTAAGAGCTAACGATATGGACTCCAAATAAAGAGTATCACTCTTCACATTCCAAGGCAGATCAGCAGTAAGTTTGTCGCAACCTTCTAAATTGCCTATCATAGAACAAAGCTGCCTCTAACCCACCTTTTTGATATAGATTTCTGATGCTTTGCATGTAGCAAAGCATGTTAGTTGCTTCATGCACATGTGTTTGGCAATGCGTAAACATATATACATTGAAAGCTTCCATCCATTGGTCCAGGTACTTAAAATGCTTTTTATGCTTATTTAGTGAACACATAAGTTGTTCCTGCATGTTCAAAAGGAAGTAACGGTTCTTCACCATCCCTCATTTCCTCCTCTGCATCTTTTGGGAGAAGCAATTTCAGGTCCACATACTCGTTGTTTATGATTTTTGCCTTCATTTTTCCGTCAATGTGCAAATCTAATGGTATAACACCTTGAGTTACCTTACCTCCCGTGGTTGGTGCTACATATACCTCGCCGTCCACAACCGGCGCGGCTGCAACCTTCCAGGTTGTAACTTCCATCATTAGACCTTGATTTTGCATACCTAACTCAGGTTTCTCAGTACCATCCTGGCCCTCTCCTACCAAACCTTGTGCAACCAGCTGCTGTACCAGGGAAGATGTGTATAAGAGACAGTCCTAAGGGACTCAACTGGGCAATATTTAGAACCATTCTTTGTGAGGAGAACAACCGGCTTACCTGACTGGTTGTTTTTAAACGACTGAAACGAAGTTCTGCTACTTTTTCTTTTAACACAATATCCTCAAAAGTATGATTGCTGGAGCCACATTTTGAAACTTTACTGGCTCTTAAAAAACAACAAAAGCATAACAAAAAGAGTGACTTGAACATGGCAAATTGAAATCGTGAAGGAACTGCCCGTGACAGTGCATTGGCAACGGCATGTAGAATTTGTAATGTAAAGGAAGTCTCATATCATTTGATGAAGCACATTGATTCGCCCCACGCAAAATCAATTTTACTAAAAAGGATATCCCCTGGTCCGCAAACCCTTTCAACTGATTAACATGACCAATCCCAGCCACATATGTTCTGATAGTAGCTGCTGTATAACCAGTTTCAAATAAGTAATCTATGAATAAAACGTATGTTTGTACGGATGTAGGAAACAGACTAGCTAATAAATTTTGAGACTTCTCAAATTTTTCGAAGATATTCAAAGCCTGATTATGGGTTCTTCTGGTCTGAGGGGCCACCCCCTGCAACATCAACTGTTAACTGTCATTTCCAAAGTGCAGGTGATGCACATGTACCGGGTGTGTATCGTGTTGAGGGGACAACGCCCTGAACTCGTCTACCCGCAATCGAGATAAATGATCAGCCAAAATGTTTGCATTCCCATGTATATGTTTGGCCGTCAGAAGAAAATTGAATTTTAAAGAAGTAAGACAGTACTATTCGTCGCAAAAGGTGCATAATATGACCTACATCAGATGTCATATTGTTAATTGCCGCTACCACAGTGGTATTCTCTATGGTTGTCAAAAATCCCTGATGAAAGATCATGAGAATTTTTTTTTGGCGCTTCATTTTGACTAATGGTGATGTGATGATGATGAATTTTACTAAAAGTGTCATTTCTAGCCATCTAGAGGTAGTATTTCCTCAAATTTTCTCACCTCAGCTCCAACCATTGTGGGGCTGAGGTGGGTGTCGACTCACAAAATGACCTCCCCCTCCACCTTTTAAAACAGATCTGTGCCCTTCCCTGGGTATGACATAAACTCCATCGAGTCGGCTCCTGATGTATGTCTTAGCAATTGCTGTTTGTTTTTAGGATGTGATCTGGTTTTTCATGTCCATTTTTCGTGATTATGACTATTCTGGATAAAGAATGTTTTGAGCAGAGGTGG